CAAACACATTCAAAAGCTAGCAGAAGGCAAGAAATAACTAAGATCAGTCTCGTTGCTTTTCAATAGCTCCACTTGAGAGCCCCTCTAGCTCCTCACACTTTCCATGTCCAAAATAGGATTTCTTCATCTGTTCCTTACACAGCACGTCTTTCTTCTCACCCTGTCTCTGAATGCACTAGTTCCTACCCATTTGTCCAAGCTGGACATTCCTACCTGACTCATCTTACCTCTTGTCACTCTGTCAAGTGAGCAATGGTCTCAGCCACATGTGACTGTACTTATAGTGTACCAACTCAGCCGTGTTCTTTCAGCCTTACTTTGCACTTGTAGAGTCCTAGCTCTTTCACCACGGGGCTTGCTAAGAATGTAATAAGGCCTCTCTGCTTTTTAGTTTCCATATCTGTAAAATAAGGTCATTGGAGTGGGCGTTCCCTAAGAGCCTTTCAAGCTCTGAAGTCCTGTGATTCTGGATGTGTTTCTACATCTCAGTTTTTCATCACAGCTTATATTCAGTTTTAAGGGGTTATAATTGTTATTATTTCCTCTTGTCTGTCTTCATGTTTTCTCATAGGTTTTAAAATACTTCATTGAGACGTAACTCATATGCCATACAACTTACTTATTTAAAGGGTACAACAGTGTACAAGTTAATGGTTTTTCGTATAGTCACTGAGTTGTGCAACTACCACTGTAGTCAATTGTAGAACGTTTTCATGACTCCAAAAGAAAACCCTCTCAGCATCCATTCTCCAATTCTCTGTCACCTGCAAACCGAGGCAACCAATAATCTACTTTCTGTCACTATGGATTTGTCTATTCTGGACATTTCCTGTAAATGAAATCATATAATATATGGTCTTTTGTGATGGTCTTCTTACACTTAGCACTGAAGAACTACTGTTTTCAAGGTTTATCCATATGGTAGCCTGTGTCAGTACTTCATTCGTTTTGCTGGCTGAATAATATTTCATTATAGGGACATATCATATTTTATCCATTCATCAGACAATGGACATTTGAATTGTCTTCACCTTTGGGGTATTATAAATAATGCTGCCATGAACATTCATGTGCAAGTTTTTGTGTGGACTTTATTTATTTGTTTATTTATTTATTTTTTGAGACGGAGTCTCCCTCTGTTGCCCAGGCTGGAGTGCAACCTGGAGAGGTTGGTTCACTCCAACCTCTGCCTTCTGGGTTCAAGCAATTCTCCTCCCTTAGTCTCACAAGTAGCTGAGATTACAGGCACCCACCACCATGCCTGGCCATTTATTATTATTATTATTATTATTATTTTTAGTAGAGACGGGTTTCACCATGTTGGCCAGGCTGGTCTCGAACTCTTGACCTCAGGTGATCCACTGCCTTGGCCTTCCAGAGTGCTGGGATTACAAGCATGAGGCCCCATGCCAGACCTGGATTTATATTTTAATTTCTCTTGAGTATATTCCTAGGAGTGAAATTGCTGGGCTAAATGGTAAATCTGTTTAACTTTTTGAGGAACTACTGGACTATTTCCAAAGTAGCTGCACCATTTTTCATTCCCATGAGTGATGCATGAGGGTTCCAATTTCTCTCAATGCTTGTTTTTGTGTATTTTTAATTATCTCTATCTTAGTAGGTGTGAAGTCGTATCTCATTGCGGCTTTGATTTGGATTTCCCCAAAAGCAAATGATGTTGAACATCTTTTCACATGTCTACACAGGTTTTTAATCTGGTATAGGATTCAGGGTTCTGGAAAAGGCCAGTGCTAATCCTAAGGGGAGAAGTTCATTTCTGGAGAAATAGTGTTTGTGTCCAACATCAAGCTTGTTAATTTCCTACTCTGTGCTGCCAGATCTTCTATGGCTTATAATTCCTGGTCTAATAAATTTTGTGTTTTTACAATTTGGTCTTCTGTTTAAGACCACAACCCAGCAATTTCTTCATCATTTTGTTTAGCTTTGTTTCTATTTTAAAAGCAATATAACTTAACACTTATAGTAATACCAACAGTGCACCTACTTCGACATGAACTGCCATGATACATAGTTCACACACACAGAGAGTGAGAACTACATGACGGTGCCACCTGTGGCTAACGGTGACTGTTAAGAGGCACTCCAACCAACTTCAGAGATGTGAAAATATGAAAAAGTATGTCAGCGTCTTTTAAGAGTTACATATTTCATCACACAGATGCACCATTTACCTTCACCATTCCCTTGAGCTTGGACATTTATTTCAAGCAAGCAAGAAAATAGGAAATAATAATAATTGCTTACCTGCCACAATGTAGGCACTCTCATATTAAGAAAAGAGTTAAGTATTTCCTCCAATTCTTGGGTGAGGATGATCTCTCCTTTTATAGCAAGTTGAAGATCTTTTAAGGATTTATGTATGACAAATAATAACTTATCAAATCGTTTAATTTCTTGCTTCAAAAAGGTTAGCAAGACACAATGGATAAGGGGGTCATGATCTGGATTTTAAAAAGAGACAAAATTTTGATATTTTATAGATTAAAAAGAGGCTTTACATGGAGAGACTTAGGCTTTGAAAGTTAAGGGAATTTCATGTATCTTGACCAGGGGTTGATAAACGTTTTCTGTAGAAGGTCAGATAGCAAACATTGTAGGCTATGGGGACCATACCACCTCTGAAAGCTACTCGACTCTCCCCTTGCGGTGTGGGTGCAGCCACACTGTATACTGGTATAACCCACACTGTCTACTATGTGTGGATGCATAGACAATATGTCATGAGTAAGTGTGGCTGAGTTCCAGTAAGTTTTATTTATGGGCACTCAAATTTGAATTTCACAGAACATTTATGTGTCACAAACTATATTTCTTCTTTTGATTTTTTCAACCATTAAAAAAATGCAAAAGCCATTTTAGTTCACAGGCTGTACAAAAACAAATGCTGGGCTGGACTTGGCCTGTGAGTCCTAATTTGCCGACCTTTGATTGAGACTCAACAATAATACTGTTTTGATAGACTATTGCTCAATATTTGGTTCCCAAATAAACTTCTGCAAAGGGATAAAATATGGGTATTAAAATTTAACTGGGAAAATTATCATAGTCCAGCAATTTAGCCCCTTAGAGCTGGGTTTGGAGCCATCTCTGAGCAACCAGGCTTCCTCTGTCTTCCTGGGCCTGCCCTGATTCCCCTTAGCTTCTGAGTCAAGTGGTCTTTCAGCAGAAGGTCCATCTAAACCTCTGCTGTTCCAGAAGGCAGATAGGCAGACAGACCAGGCACCTAAGAGCTCTTGAGAATCTCCCAAGCAGAGTTGCTGCTTTCTGGTTTGCTACACTTATTATTTCTTCACTTTTGATTTCAGTGCCACACGCTACCCACCCCCAAATAAAGCATGATTTTCTTCTGTGCTCTCTGTTTTTCAACTTGGAGAGAGGAGGCAGAGACTGAATTTTCCATCTTATCTCAGTCTTTTCATTTCTATGGAATTTTTGTCCTATCTTTACCTTACTCCTGATGCCAGAGTAAGTTTACCTTACTCCTGATGCCTTACTCCTGTCCCATGCTCACCTTCGAGATTTTTAGAAAGAGACTCCCAAATGGAGCTTGACATCATGCTCTTCAATGTGCTTGGAGTTCCAACAGCACTTTCTTCTTTCTCCACTGTCAGTGGCAGCCGCTTTAGCAAGTCGGATAGAATTTCCATCACCAGTTCATCCTTACTCTGCTCAGGTCTGCAAAAGAAACCAAGAAAAGAATGAGACACAGAACAGGAAGGGGGAGATGGGGAGAGATTTGTTAAAGGATTCAAGATTACTGGTAGACAGGAGGGATAAGTTTAGTGTTCTATACCACTGTAGGATGACTATAGTTAACAAAAATAGATTATACATCTTCAACTAGCTAGAAGAGAGGATACTGAAAGTTCCCAACACAAAGGATAAATGTTTGAGATGATGGACATGTGAATTGCCCTGATCTGATCACTATACATTGTATGTATTGAAACATCACTATGTACCCCAGAAATATGTACAATTATTATGTCAATTAAAAAAATAAAAATTGGCCGGGCGCAGTGGCTCATGCCTGTAATACCTGCATTTTGGGAGGCCGAGGTAGGCAGATCACTTGAGGTCAGGAGTTTGAGACCAGCCTGGCCAACATGGTAAAACCCTGTCTGTACTAAAAATACAAAAATTAGCCAGGCATGGTGGGCACCTGTAGTCTGAGCTACTCAGGATGCTGAGGCGTAAGAATCACTTGAACTCGGGAGGCAGAGGTTGCAATGAGCCAAGGTCGTGCCACTGCACTCCAGCCTGCGTGACAGAGCAAGACTCTATCTCAGAAAAAAAAAAAAAAAAAAAAAGGAAAGGAAAGGAAAATAAAAGAAATCAAGAGAATGACAAGCTACAGATCTATCTAATGTTAGAGGGCCCTCTGCTTAAATTCCATCTGAAGATAAACGTATCTTCACAGAACCGCAAAACTATACTATGGTATAGTTACAGAGACCATGGAATTCATTTTACAGATGAGAAACTGTCCAATATATTTTAGACATTTGCAAGGAAATATGTATTATAAAAGCTTTGTTAGGATTTCTTTGTAAAATAATCATCTGAATGCATCTGCAAGACAATGAAAAAGAGGAGGCAACTAAACAGAGCATGCTGAAGCAGCTGCATGGAGGATTCCACTGCTTGCCCCATTCCTGTGTTGACATGAAGGGCTTCTTAATCATGCAGTCCGTGGGTGGTGACAGGGGGAGTGTGTGTCCAGGCCTAGGTGAGGCTGCAATACTACACAAAACCACTAAACACTAGGGCTGGAAGAGCTCTTTGGAATCCTTTTAAAGATGATGAAACCAGGGCCCAGGAAAGAGGGAGGACTTCCTTAGTTAGTGGATGAGTAGGAAATGGGGCACATCTCTTTCGAATTCCCTCTCTCTGTTGTTCTGTTTACTAGTAGGGACTGATTTTTCTTTTTCTTTTCTTTTTTTTTGAGACAGAGTTTTGCTCTATCGCCCCGGCTGGAGTGCAGTGGTTCAATCTCGGCTCACAGCAACCTCTGCCTCCCGGGTTCAAGCAATTCTCTCCCTCAGCCCCCGAGTAGCTGGGATTATAGGTGCCCCCCACCACGCCGGCTAATTTTTTTGTATTTTTAGTAGAGACAGGGTTTCACCATCTTGGCCAGGCTTATCTTGAACTCCTGACCTCATGATCCACCTGTCTCGGCCTCGCAAAGTGCTGGGATTACAGGTGTGAGCTACCGTGCCCGGCCAGGACTAATTTTTTAACAAACACTCCAGGTTTCACAGTCAAATGAATGTTATCCTTCAAGATAAGCGATAACCTTAAAGCTGCCATGAAGTATTTAGTCTAACAGTGCTGCTTTGGTACCAGTTTACAGAACACTTGAGGTCACATGGCTCCTTACTTTGTCATCATACTGTTTTGACTTTAAAGTTGATTTTCTCCATAGAATTCAATCCAGGTGGCTTCAAATAATTCAAAAGGTCAAAAGGTGTCAAAAATCAAACTTACCTTCAGAAGGCAAAGATTTGCTACCCCTAAGGAAATTACATTGAATATGATAGATTTTTGAATTAAGTCCCACAGACAAGTCTCTAATAAGCAAAGGCAGCAAGATTGGGATAATTATAGCCTCTCAAAGTGACCAAAGGGACATTAATAAACATATCTAGTATGTTTATTAAAAGCATTTCCTTATAATATGTTGATATCTTAAATATTTGTAATGTTTAAGAGAATTGGGCCTCGTAATACCTTGTGTTAGATTGGGGTCAGTCTTGTGACCCCGATTAAAAGAGATAATTGAGAAACTGATTTATGATTTTAGGTTGAAATCTCATTAGATTGATATATAATATTAGGGAATAAGAGAATTTAAGATTCACCACATTTATTTGATTATTAGATTTATAAAAGTTACTCAAAGATTTGAGAAGGTCTGGCAGACAAATTGAAGTACATTCACTTTATAATGAATATTAATATATTTGAAAATGTTTGATTAAGTTTATAAATGGGAGCAAACATTCAAATATCTTTTAAAAGTGTTAAAATTTGTTAGACGTACAAATTGAAAAATTAGAACTTAAATACATAAGGAACTAATTGAAGTAGAATTTAGTTTCTTTACCATGTAGACTATACTTTTCTACATATCTCTTCAAATGAATTTTTTTTTTTGAAACAGGGTCTCAGCCTCCCAAGTTCTGGGACTACAGGTGCTCACCACTACACTCGGCTAACTTTTGTATTATTTGTAGAGACGGGGTTTCACCATGTTGCTCAGGCTGATCTGGAACTCCTGAGCTCAAGCAATCTTTCCCCCTCAGCCTCCCAAGGTGCTGGGATATAGGCGTGAACCGCCAGACCCAGCCTGATAATTTTTGACCAAGTTTTTCTTAGCGAGTTCTTACCTGATCCTGAGGTTGGCAGTGGTAGTTTTTGGTTGCATGGCAATCAGATTTTCAATAAACTCTTCGC